TCCAATAGTCAAATAAAAAAGTATAGATAATACAACTGCAATTTCGTACATAAATCGCATGTACGAAAAATGAATGAAAAATGCAATACAGGACATTTACCTAAGGTTGCTAAAAACTATGGCAATGATACGAAGCAAGCATATAATCTTTTTTGTTTCTACTTTATATATCCCATCTGTCGAGAACACTATTACTGACCCCAAATCTAATCACCCTGACATTGAATAGGATTGTCAGATTTTGCTTTGTGTACCAGATATTTACATATTTGCTAGCGGCAAAAAAAATATATATATATATATACAAAATATTATGTATCATTGCATAAAGACACTGATGGCTATACTAACGACGCTTTCTTTCTTTTTTCCTCAATTGTTCTTAAAACATTAAGAAAAATTACTATTAGCGTTAAAGCTAGAGGTATATTGATAGTACCGACATGGCTATCACAGCCTAGGTATTCCCTGTTTAATCGGCTCCTGGAGTCGATTTTGTTCATTGATTTTTAATTCTGTTAAGGAACTAATTGTTTCTTATTCCAGCAACTACCCGATAATGGGCGTATTACCCTGGGTGCCGGAATTCAATGCGGGCTTTTTTATTAAAAAGAAACATTCCCTGCACATCTATTCCGATCATATTGGTTTCCCTTTCGCCCATCTCTATGAAATATTATGATACATGTCTGAAAAAATGGTATAATTTTTGCAAGAATAACAACATGTATCAGGCATCAATACCAATTATTGGTTATTTCTTAATGAGTCTATCAATCTAGAGCCCAAACTAGCGAGGATGACCATAAACAAAAAAAATTAAGGTTATTTATGTAGGCTTTACCCAAATATGATTCAACTTTGGGACACCTCATTATTAATAGAAACTCTCGCTAGCTGGGTGCCGAATTAGAATCTATCTTTTGAGAAAATATCTATATTAAAAAAAAAACTAGTTGCCTTCTTGCACTAATAACGGCGCACAGGACCCAAACCCTATTAAAAATAAATATTCAAAATATAAGAATTTCACTTGATGAAATTTCTACTAATGTTCCCGATTTGACAAAAACATCTCGTGTTAATTCTAATCAGCCAACCCTTGTTCATCCATACTTTAGACACACTACACTAGTATAAAGGAGCCCCATAATACGGTTTCTGTTTAAACGCTAAGTAGATGGATAAAGAGTTGGAGGTTAGCGGGGTTGATGTTACTACATTCTGTGCGCATAGCACTAGGCACACCAGCACGGCTGGAGCCCATAGACTAGCTGTCAACTTAAATATAATAAGGAAAACTGCCGGCTGGACGGGTGCCTCCACAACTCTTGCGAAGTTCTTTAATAGTTCTATAATGGATAATATCAACTGATACCTACTGAACACTGAGACATAGTTCCGCTAAGAGTTTACTAATTAATGTTAATTAAATATGTATCGTTAATCACGATAATCGTATGTCATAGCAGTGTATTTTTTGTGTACATTTTATAGTGATTATAATTAAAATTATTTTATTCATGAAATATTGAATTATTTCCCATTGTAAATAATTTCTGTTGGGATATTTCACAATTAACTCTCAACATCTACCTGTGTTATCTAATCTCGAGAACGAAACACTGAAGCATAATTAATGATTAAACGAACTTACCTGTAAGTGAAGTTCTATCATAATTATGTGAGGTGTTTCGTTCGAAGAGATTAGCATCCCTCCCGCCCTGTTTATTTTTAACCCTCATGTTGTGAAATATCATGTCGTTTCTCTACTCTGAACTAAATGATAAATCGAGCGCAGTGCAACCATGAAGTAATATTAATCTACCGTCTTGTTTTATTTTTACTTTAAACTAAGTGCATAGATGGCGACATTGTATGTGTGACTACCTGTGTTATCTAATCTCTTCGAACGAAACACCTCACATAATTATGATAGAACTTCACTTACAGGTAAGTTCGTTTAATCATTAATTTTTATTCTAATATCAACTAAAATATCTTATATTCAAAATCTAATGTATTCTTTCTGTGACGACATGGATTTTGACGGAGAATCTCGGCTGGATATGAGAGAGGCCCAAGTCCAGTCGAGGATTTTTAATCAAACAAATCTACTCATTTTTAAGTACTTACGCAAGAAATATTACTGAAAGTGCTGTAAATAGTAAGTGGATGTTGTGGTCCATAGACATTTACGTCTGTTCTCGATTAAGAACTAGAATGCAAACGCGTTGTCACCCCTGAGGACGAACATGGAATGCCTCGTATCCAGTAAGAGGGCCTCCGGTTCTCTACACTCATCATACAAAACACAAAAGCAGTAAGCTGCTAAATCACGCTGGTATTCTGTGAAATTGTGATCCTTCACCTGTCGAGCCGACCCATTTGTGCTACAACCATAACATGGCTGCTAAGATAAAGATATGAGAATTTTTTCTTTATGAATTTTCTAGAATATTTTTTATTAAAAACCTACCCCAAACCTGTATCGTTAGATTGTACGTGGTCATGCATATATCGCATTTGCAGATACTCATTATGAAGAAGTCCTCCCCACACTAGGTACTTGTCCCCACACTAGGTACTTATGGTTCCCCTGATCTTGCAGTTGTTCATGGGCGGCGGTAGTCACTTACCATGAGGTGTGCCGCATGCTCGTTTGCTCTTCTATAAAAAAAATTATCATCATGCAAGCCTTACTGTAGAGACAGTTTGTAATCGTAAACGAGATCAAAAAACTTAACACCAATTTCAAACAAGATCCGAAGTCAAGGAAAACTAACGAATACATAGAGAAGAGAATCAAAGATTTCGATGAACTTTGGCTCGAATTCAAAATCAACAACGAACAATTATCGACATTAGCAGACAAGGCTCACAAATATTTTACAAAGGACATTTTTCTTGTGTATGAACATTTGTACAGCAAAACGCAGGAAATTATGGCTGTGTATGAGTATGAATCAAAGGATAAATCGACGAAGGATAATACCACCCAGGTGGACCTTGAGAATTTAAAGAATTATTAAGCTTGCAGCGAACTAACTTTCGAGCATTTTCGAGAATAACTGAGAACTTAGACATCGAAAACATCGAAGAGAAATGGGAGTTAGAGTATGAGTTAAGAAACCTTCAAAATCGTTGGAGCAACATCGAAGAAACTCACTTGAAGATCTACAATATTCTCGAAGGTTCCGATTTAAAGTACGACAAGGAATATGAGGAAAAGGAAATCAAGTTTAAATACATGAATAGGTTACTGAACAAAAAATTAACATCTCAAAACTATGTACACCTAACAACAAAACATAGAAATACCTACGTTTTCTGGGAATTATATCCAATGGACTACATTTTTTTGACCTGTTTAAAGAAGCCGTTCACAACAATCCTTCAATGAATAAGGCACAAAAAATGCAACACTTAAAGGGCAAGCACAGAGGTGAAGCCGAGCGCCTAATATATCTTCAGAACACTTGCATATATCTTCAGAAAACTATGACTCCGCGTGGAAAATATTAGCTCATCGCTATGATAATCAGCAAGTCCTCTTTACGAAGCACATTGAAACTCTTATAAATCAACCTTACATCCAAAAACAATCATCAACAGAACTCAAACGACTTCACGATGTATAAATGGAATGCATTCATGGTGTTTTCAATATGGGGATTGACAATTGCTCTTGGGATCCGATTCTGGTACACCTTATAGCAAAGAAATTAGATACAGCAACGTACAGTGATTATATGGAGTCAAATAAAGACCCACGGGAACTACCTGATTTGGATGAGTTTATGGCGTTTTTGGAAGCTAAATTTACAGCCCTAGAGCCAATGAATAGAAAAGAGCAGACAGTCGAAACATCAAATTTTATTAAAAATAACCATGTATCAAAATTTCAACAACGTGACCAAAAACCTGCAATTTATGAGAATAGAGATACATCATTCAAGAAATATTATTAGTTAGTTATAGTAGTTATAGGTAGTATATTAGTTATAGGTAAACTCCAAATTCATACCTTCTTGTCCTTTATGCAAACAAAATTACGCATTGTTTCAATGCAAAAGATTCGAAGTTAATACACCTGAAATGAAATTACATACCATTTCAAAACTACACATATGCGAAAACTGTTTATACGTGCATAAATATGAATGCAATTTTGAAAAACGATGCAAGGAGTGCAATAAGAAACATAACACCTTATTGCACGACGTTTATATTACAAAGGCGGCTAATAATGTAAGTTAGGCGAACATGGCCTTGAAGTCGCAGGGCATGAAACCACATGTACAATTGAACCACGTGGCTGGAAATGATGACGAAATATTGCATGCCATAATCAAGATGCAAGTAAGGGCAGCAGATGGTTCTTACATCACACTGCGCGCACTTCTAGACCAGGGATCGCAAACGTCCCTTATATCCAAAAATGCAGCGCAAAGGTTGGGGCTGAAACGTCAAAACTTCAATGCATCTGTCACCGGTATCGGTACATCGCCAAACAAAAGCCGAGGAAAAGTATTATTGCACTGTAATTCATTATTGACCGATTATGCATTCTCTACAGAAGCTTTAATAATGTCCAAAGTTATTAACTGCCTAGCTGTGACGTCATTCGAGAATAAAAATTGGCCACACATACAACACTTGCAATTAGCGGATCCTAAATACAATATAACGAAGCCTATTGATATTCTTTTAGACGCTAAAGTTTATGCTGAAATCATCATGGATGGGTTGTTAAAAGGCTCGCCATGACAACCAATAGCACAGCAAACACAAATGTGTTGGATTTATCTGATTCTATGACGAAAACATTCAACTGTTAATTTACCTTCAATAATATCGAAGACATTAGCAATTATTGGGAAATTGAAGATATATCGAAGCATGAACGCTCATTAACTTTAGAAGAGCAGTTTTGTGAAGATTATTATATCAAAACGACTAAATGATTATCAAATGGAGTATATGAAGTACGTTTACCTATGAATAAAGGCTTTGAAAGGCAATTAGGCCACTCGAAACTAAAGGCAGTCGCGCAGTTCAAGCAATTAGAGCGAAAGCTTGAAAAATATCGGCAGCTATGTGAAAAGTACAACCATTTCATGAATGAGTATATTGCAATGAACCATATGAAACCAGCAGTGGAGACTAATTCTCTAGAATGTTATTTACCACATCACGGTGTCCTAAAATTTGAATCTAATAGTACAAAATTACAAGCTGTTTTTAATGCATCGGAAAAAAAATCGACTGGCTTTAGCTTGAAAGACTTAATGGAGTGCGGCTCTAAACTGCAACGTGATATACTGGAATTATTATTAAGTTGGCGTGCTTACAAATATGTATATAAAGCAAATTGCGAAAAGATGTATCTTATGATCAAGGTACAAGAAGATGTCCAGCAACTACATAAGATTATGTGGCGGAACGAACAAGGCGCTATGCAAGATTTTCAGTCATGCACTGTCACATATGGTATGAAAGCTGCACCTTACTTGGCTCTCAGAACGATGCAGCAATCAGCAAGTGATGACGCTGACGTTTACCCTATAGCAACTGAGATCTTGAAGAAGAGATTATATGTTGATGATTTGATATATGGTAGCAACAAGATCGAGAAAGCAAAGCAAGCACAACGCAAATTAATTGATATATTACGAGAAAGCGGTTTTAACTTGAGAAAAAGGTCCAGCAATGAACCCAGACTCCTAAAAGATTTATCTAACGACCAAATTAATGTCTCTACTGTTAACTTCAACAACTGCTCATCATCATCAACTAAGGCATTAGGGTTGCGTTGGCATCTATCCTGTGATATTTTTACATTTGACAATAAGATTGAGAACACGCAAAAGCCCGATACAAAACGCTCTATTTTGTCAAACATATCGAAGCTTTTCGACGCGCTCTGTTGGTTATCTCCGAGCACAATAAAAGCAAAACTATTGTTTCAACGACTTTGGAGTGAGCATAAGGAATGGGATCAATCATTGTCACCAGATATTCAACACGAGTGGAGTAAACTAAAGGAAGAATTAATGAACATAAGTAAAATTAAAATTCCGAGATGGGTCAGCAATACTCAATCATCAGTACACGGCTACGCAGATGCGTCAGAAAAGGCTTATGCGACCGAAGTTTACATCAAAACCTATAAGGAGGATAAGGAACCCAGGATAAATCTCATAGCAGCGAAAACAAAGCTAGCCCCACAGAAGAAACGTATTACATTCAAAAACATATTAAAAAAGATAGACAGGTTACACACTAACATTAATGTATTTTAAAGTGGCGCAGGTAGTACTATATCTACGTACAGTTACTTATTATGACACGTTGCGCTAACAAAAAGAGACAAATGATACGGCATATCTATCGTTAGAAAAAGATAAATATACATCATTAGTTGCGTATTGATTGCTGCTGAGCGTTCATTGGCGCGAGCGCGTCACATACCGATATGGAAATGAACACACTAGCTAGCGTCAAAGTTTAGACTAGCGGTTAGTGTTGAAATAATAAAACCAATTATGAACAAAACATCTTTTTTTTATAGGAGAGAGGGAAAACGAGCATGCGGTTCACCTGATGGTAAGTGACTACCGCCGCACATGAACAACTGCAACACCAGGGAGGGAATTGCAGATGCGTTGCCGGCCTTTTAAAAAGGAGTACGCTCTTTTCTTGAAGGTCCCTAAGTCGTATCGGTCCGAAAAAATCACTGATGGTAATCGATTCCACAAGGAAGTCGTGCGAGGAAGAAAACATCTTCTAAATCGCACAGTGGTGGACCGCCAATCATCCAGATGGTGTGGATGGTATCGGGAGTTCTGCCGCGATGTGTGTTCGTGAAATTTGGCGGCTGGGATTAAACCGAACAATTCCTCAGAGCACTCCTCATGGTAGATGCGAAAGAAAATGCAAAGGGATGCAACATCTCTTCGCAGTACCTATGAATCGAGCTGATCGGAAAGGGCTCGGTCGTCGACGATTCGAGCCGCTCTGCGCTGGATGCGGTCAAGTGGAAGGAGCTGGCACTGGGGAGCCCCTGCCCAGAGATGGGAACAGTATTCCATGTGAGGCCGAACCTGCGCCTTGTAAAGCTGCAGGCGGTGTGCCAGCATGAAGTACTGTCCCGCTCTGCTGAGCACGCCAAGCTTTTTAGAGGCCAATTTGGCCTAGCGGTAAACGCGCAAACTTGTGTCTTCTGAGGATTAAACTGGACTAGATTTAGTCGCCCCCAATCCGAGACTTTGTCCAGCAAAGACTCGACTTCAGACACAAGTTTGTTCCGGTACTCGGCCACGTTTTCCCGAGAAATATTGGCCCGGCCGGTGTATAGAGCATCACCAGTGCTGTCATCCGCATATCAATGAATGTTACCAGTTAGCAACATATCATTGATGTGCAGAAGAAACAGCGTTGGTGATAGCACACAGCCTTGTGGAACACCAGCGTTAATAGGCTTGTAGTCAGAACATGCACTGTCTACAACGATCTTGATGCTCCGATCTGCAAGGAAGCTGGTGATCCAATTGCACAATTTCTCGGGAAACTCATAGGAAGGGAGCTTCGAAAGAAGCGCTTTGTGCCAAACCCGATCGAAGGCCTTCGCAATGTCCAGACTAACGGCCAATGCCTCCCCCTTGGACTCTACTGCCTCCGCCCATCTATGAGTCAGGTAGACCAGAAGATCACCAGTTGATCGACCCCGACGAAAACCATATTGGCGGTCACTAATCAGCTGGTGATCCTCAAGGTACCGGATGAGCTGGCAGTTAATAATGGATTCCATTATTTTGGAGAACAAGGAGGTGATCGCGATATATGTAGGCCTATAGTTGGACGGGTCTGAGCGGTCGCCTTTTTTAGGGATCGGGTGGACAAAAGCTGTCTTCCATGAATTCGGGACTACGCCATGGGAGTAGGAGTACCGGAAAAGATGCGTTAAGACCGATGCCGACTCCGGAGCACACGTCCTCAACACAATTGGGGGGATTCCGTCAGGCCCACTCGATTTCTGGATGTCCAGGGAGGGAAGTGCTTTGCGAACCGAGCGCTGTGAGAACAGCACATCCGGCATGGAGCACTCATACCGCGTGATGGTCGGCGGTGTTTTCCCCCCGTCATCAAGAGTCGATTTGGACGCAAAAAGGGAGCCTAAAAGGTCGGCTTTGTCTTTTGCGTCTTGGGCCAGTGAGTCGTCCTCCCTGTGCAGAGATGGTAGTGATGGCTTACAGAAATTCCCTTGGACAGCCTTGGCGAGAGACCAGAACGCGCGGGTTCCCGAAGGAAGGCGAACTAGTTTCTCGCCAATTTTGCCTATGTTCTCTGACTTTGCCTTGGCAATAACTCTTTTGAAGGAACTGGAGGCGGAATTATACTTCTTTTTAAGTGTGCTGCTGTTTATATCCCGAGTCGCCGAAGCCGCAGCCCAGGCTTGATAACACTCCTGCTTACTGCGTAATGCAGTCGTACAGGAGCGACTAAACCAAGGCTGAGATCTGTCTCCGATGGGTACCACAGATGATGGAATAAATAGTTCCATTCCCTGTAGCACCACATCAGTGACAGAGTCAGCAACAGCGCTGGGATCATCCGGCGAGAAGCAAACCCACCCTCGTGGGTAGGATGCAAAGAAAGACCGCATTCCGTCCCAATCCTCCGACCTGTAATGCCAAACACGGCGGTAACCTGCAGAACGCAATCGCGAAGGGAGCGTGAGTGGCACCATACTCCGGATCAGCCAATGGTCCGAAGAGCCGAGAGGGGCATCGACGGAAACCTGATATCCGTCCGGATGAGAGGTCAGCAGAAGGTCCAATAGGAAAGGTATATGATCCTTCACATCTGGAATCCACGTAGGCGAAGTAACCAGTTGTGTCAGACCATATGCTAAGGCAAAGTCATAAACAGATCTCCCCGCATGATTGGTTAAACGTGAACCGAGCCATTCGGCATGGTGGGCGTTAAAATTGCCAAGGATCACGATCTCTACGGATGGGATTGTAGCAAGGAATCTGTAGCCGAATCTGTTGGACGTGGTCGATGAGTCGGTCTGTTTCGGCATTACCGCTATGGGACTTATAGAGGCACCCGTAGACGCGCGGATGGTCGTCGCTATCTACGCGTAGCCAAAGGATGGACAGGTCCGAACCTTCAAGACTACCGAGGCGTTGAAAACAGATGTCCTCTCTGATATACACGCAAACTCCAGCCCGAGGCACAAAGGACTGCTCCAGTTTGTACTCCGGGTAGGAGAGATACGAAATATCAGCCGGAGAGGAAACCTGCGTTTCGGTCAGAAAGAGCAAGGCCGGCTTCGCCGTCTCGAGATAGTGTGTCGGCGTTTAGGTTAGAGTGAAGTCCCCTGATGTTGCAGAAATTCACGGATAGCGTGGCAGGGGTCGCCTTGGTATTGTTGCTCAGTTTGCCCCGAGCAGTTATGTTTTTGAGCGAAATTTTGCCCCCCCCCCCCTCAGAATACGCGGGGCAGCCTAAGCACCCACGCTCAGGATTTGAATAACATGGTCGTGGATGCTCAGCGAGGGATTCTCCAGGGGTACTGGTACCCTCGTGGGGTAGTCTATCGTGTAATTCCTTGCCTTTTACAGTTGCCGTGTAATTTGTGCACCACCTGAAAACACAGGAAGGCGTTTTTACCACGAATTACTAGAAGATTTACACGCTGTAGCTAAGGTATAGCCGCGACGCGAGAGCGAGCCCGATTGAATGCGGGTTGGGCAATTACTTGAATTTCGTATTGCCATTTTAGAGCGAGTATATCGTATCTATTCCTTAAAAACATCTTAGATTACATTGCCACGGCTGGAATTATGTGGAGCTGTTTTTTTATCTAAATTGATACAAAAGCTTATTGTTTCGATGTCATTAGCTCAGGACAAATTACAAATTCATGGCTGGATGGACTCAATGGTTGTCTTGGGCTGGATTCATGGCAATACTGCAAGATGGAAAACATACGTGGCGAACAGAGTGAATGAAATAATTATGGTCATACCGTCATCCTGCTGTAGGCATACTAAATCAGAACATAATGCAGCTGACTGTGCCACGCGAGGACTTTCACCATCTCAACGATTATCGTATTCTCTATGTTGGAATGGACCCTCGTGCCTCAAGGAGAACAAAGTGTATCCTCCAGAAAAATATGAAGCTCCGGAATTTGAACTGAAGACCAAACCTCGGATATGTTCTACAGAGACTAATCATTCACCGTTTATCAGTGAGCTTCTATATAAATACAGCTCAGTTACAAAGGTGACCCGCGTGTTATGTTGAGTGTTACGTTACATTACTATCGCACGTAAGCGCGTGCGAAACAATAACAATTTCTATCCAAGTTATATCACTGTCAATGAAATTAAATATGCTACTTAATAATTAATTAAATCAATTCTTTTAGATAACTTTGCGCAAGAGATAGAACAATTAAGGCCTTAACAGTGGTTGTAATGCCTAAATTTAGGATATTTAAGTAAAAAAATCTCAATAACTGTTCATTTAATCCACAAAGAAAAAATACAAAGTAACAGAAGAAGATTTGGTAAATGTTTTTAATTTAACAAAATTGTATTTCTGTCAACTCCTTATTAGAAAAAAAATCCCCAAAGAGTACCTATCTTTGTCATATTTTGCAAAATTTCTCCAAAACGGCACAAGTTTTTTAAATAGTTCTTACACTAAAAAAAGGTCTTAAAAATATTAATATTTTTAATTGAGAGTTTTATTTTTATAACCCGTTTTATAAGAGAATATATCATTTTTCCCTGAAATTGAATATATTTACGCGAGCGCGCATGCTCCGTCGCCATGTAAGCTCTGTCACAGTCCGTTTTCGGACATCGTCGAGGGTGGATCGCACGTCGGTGTTGGAGCGACTTCGTTCAAATATATATTAGTTTTTTAAAAGTTTATACTTAATTATAAATATTTTTATGACTAGAAATACTTAATTTAGTTAATATCTGTACACTGGTAACTGTAAATATTATTTTATAAATAAATGAATTTTTAAAGTGCCCAAAGAAGAAGAAATTTCTGCGGCGACGTTGATTAGTGAAATTGAAAAATGCATTTTTATATAATTTAGATGTGGAACGACGAAAATGCTCCCGTTACTTAGATTTCGATAGTTTTTAATACCTATGTAATTTTATTGTTGCATATTTTTATTAATTACTTGATAATGAATTTTATAATTATGTATTACAATAAAACGCTGTTTTTATAAGTATGACTTTATAAAATATTATTGGGGAGAGAA